AGTGGACGTGAGCTGGGGTGTCTGCATCATAACAGGGGTGTGCAGTGTTTGTTCTCTGCTTAACCASATACTGTCACTACTACTGCTTTCTTCAGCTGAAAGAAAATTTACATCAATGAAGTTCAGTCACTAATTTTGAACAGTCAGATATCTAAAACTACCCATTCAGGTAAACAAACTTTTGGCTACTCTTCACATGCTAGTGCTAGGAACTGGAAGACTCAAAGATATGAAAGGCAGTTTCCACCCTGCCCTTATAATCTAATTGTAAAAAATAACAAACATACAGTTAAAATACAGTGTGGCAAGAAATCAGATAGCTACCCAGAAGTGACTTTAACTACAGTGAGTGTTGAGTGGGCTACAAAAGTTTTTCCAAGCAGGGGTAAGAACACAAGCAAAAGCACTGAGGCATGAAAGATCAGTAACTGAATCCTATTAATCTGATGATATCTGACCTATAAAAAATGGCAACTTCATACGGTTGAAACTAATACTTTAATGTTACTGGGAGTATAAAGATGAAAAGAATGGGAAAAGATAAGTAAAACTGGATAAAGAAGCAGGAATAAGCCAGACATGGTGGTGCATATCTTAATCCCAGTGACTCAGAAGGCTGAGGCAGGAGGATTTTAAGTTCAAGGCCAGCCTGGGCAACTTACCCTATCTCAAAATAAAAAAATTAAAAAGGGCTAGGGATCTAGCCCAGTGTAAAGTACCCCTGGATTTAAGTACCAGTACAAGGGGGGATTAAGTATAAAAAGTAGGAATCAATTTGTAGAAAGCCTTGTGATCTGTGAGAAGGTGCCAGGAAATCACTGCTGAATGCTTTAAGAAATGGAAGCATTTTGGTGAGTAACATGTTTTAGTCAATGTGGTAGCACTATGGATAGTGGACTTAAGAAGAGGAAGACTTAAAAGCAAACAGGCCAGTTAGCAGACTAATTTTATGCCCTAGGTGATTGAAACAAGATATACTAGAGATGGATACAACAGGAAAGTGGTTCCTAAACTATGGGATGCAGACTGCTGAGCAGGTTTTAAACTTCTCTTAAGTGCAAAAGGACCACAAATCCGTATGTGCATTAAGTACTGGACTTAAGAAAAAGTAGATTTCACACCTGCAAAAGCTTCTTTTATACTAATTCACATATAAGCCATTACTGAGTTAAGTTTTTAAACCACTGACTCGAGAGGTAAAATTGAGGGCATTTGGTGACTGAGCTAAGATAAGAACTATTTTATTAGTGGATTATAAATGTAAGCATATATCTAAGTTTTAAAGGAAAAACCTACAGAAAATGTACCAACACTCGTAACTGATGGTTTAGACATAAATTTCATTTTTCACAATATAATTATATCATATTCTTCTATGTTCAGAGTCTAATATGGCATTGATCTGGCTAACCTATCAGTATTCTTCTAACTTATTAGTGCCTTAATTTCTATGGCTCTCTTGAAACACCTGAAAAGAGCATTGACCAAAACTTGTATCTGGTTCGGCAATTCATTTCTAAGATGTTATAAAAATACAAATGCAAAAGTGCTTCATGAAGTCTAAGGGAAAGGAGAGATTTGATACTACAGCACAAATCTGTAACTATTAATTATTGATTCAGATGAGAAAAGCTTTTCAATAAGATTTACAATGATATGCAGAAAACACCTTTTACTTGGATAACTTTTCTATTAAAAAAAAACTTTTTATAAATGATCATTCCTGTTTAGTTGATAGGAAAGATCCACTGTGATATTGGGACTATATAACCAAGTCTGAAACTATACAAGTTGTAAGGTTATGACTGGACAAATGATACTAAAACTAACCATAAGACAACCAAGTTTTTTATACTATACGCCCGATGAAAAATGGTGGCCGATACATTGTGTGGCAATTTTAAAAAAATATGGTTCCCAAACTCTTTTACACTCTTTGCACAAAGAGTATTATGCCCCTTTCCCTATAATCTCCGTGATTGTTTGGCCAAGAGAATATAGCATAAGTCATATTATGCCAGTTTCTGAGCCTTGGACTTTAAAACTAGAAGCTCTCATTTCCTCTCTCTTAGGATACTACTTAAGCTCTTAGAAGCGAGTGACATGCTAACACGGAGAAGTCTTTACACATACTCTGGCAGACAGTCCAGCTGAGGTTAGATATGTAGGCAAAGATGAATTCATATGATTCTAGCCTCCAACCTTTCAGTCTTCCAAGCTGAGGCACCAAACATTACAAATGCTTGCTATATCTTAAGTCTGAGGTATAACTGAGGTATATAACTGCCACAAATTCTGACATCTTTGCTAATTTGTTTAAAGCTTCCAGTGAAAAGAAAAATATTCCCAAGGCCCATATCAAACCAACCCTGGAATGCTAGGAACACAAGATCATCTAACATCATAATGCATTCCTATCTCTAACGACAGGCTGTACTTTAAATTTCCATCAAGTTCTTCAAAATTAATGACATCTTAAGGAAATGCAGAGGTTGTTACTTCTTTCAATGTCATTCCACTTAAAATTACATGATCTGATCTCTTTGCTTAGTAATAACACTATAATACTGAGTCTATTTCCCTATACATAAAATACAGCACAGTGATTGAAAAGCAGGCACTCAGGAATCAAAGTGTCTTTGACTATTACAACCTATCTGTGTGACATTGGGAAGGTTACTCAATCTGTTAGTTTTTTCATTTTAAAAATGAGGATATACCTGAAAAACTGTCAGAACTGAGTTCATATATATAAAATACTTTAACATATTCATATGTAACTGATACATTGTGCAAGCTATTGTTGAATAACATATCAAATGAAAAATAAGGTAAAGATTAATAACAATTCAGTTGGTGAATATTAGGAGAAAATACAAAAAGAATAAACTATATCCTTACTGAGTGAAAGTTGCATGCCCTCAACCACTTTCCGTTTTCCTGTAGATGGTTTTGATTTTTTACTCCGCACAGTTGACCCCCGACTGCTGATTCCACTAATGAYGGACATGGTGTCATCATCACCACCAGATAGCAAAGAATTTCGGTAAGACATCAGTGGAAGCCACACATCTTCTCTTCGGAGTGACATCTGAAATGTCATGAACTTTTCCAAGTAAACATACACTGTTCTTTTGTCTTGTCAAAGTAGTTTAGAAGAAAATTCACTCAAAATATCAAGAAATGCCAAATTTAAAGGTGGATGGCTCTCCCCTTGTGGATTAGGCTCTTTAAAAGCAAATTCTATGCCATCTCTGCAAATGAAAATAATTGAAATAAATATTTAAGAAACCATAATACAAAAATTAAGTGAACTTAGGAAATTTCACTTTATACTTTCTACTAAAATATTTCTTTTGTTATGATTTTATTTGAGGTATAGAGAATATGGAGGCTGAAGTGTGAGAATGAGAAAATATATTTACATTTTAAGTCACTCTTCACTTTCTTTAAAACTACACACTCACACACCAGTTAACCTTAAGTTAAATGCCCATGGCTTGGTACACTGACATTCTTCACTAAGGATTTCTTTCCCACAGAAAACAACCCAAATTCCATCACATAATGATCAAAACATTATCTTCGTTTTTTGAGATCTAAAGCAGGCCTACTCTAACACAGAGAACTAACAAAAATATGATTAATGACAATTTGTAATGGTTCACTTAAAAGTAATGTGTTAAAATTCACTCTAATCAGGGCCCATTTTAACTACATTCATGTGGTAACAAATACCTATTAATCAAGATTAAAAAACCCATCATTATACTCTTATGAAAAATATAGAGGGTAAAAAACAACTCAGATAGCACTGAGGAAGAAAGAAGGAAAGTTATTACAGAACAAAATCATGTATTGCTTTTCAATTACTACATGTGTAGTAATTACATAAAAATTACCACCAATGTATTAAAAGGCATTAAAAATAAATCTGAAGAGTTTTAGAACAAGGTAAAAAGAGAGGAAATTAAAGTCAGGCAAGGTATGGGTAAAAAAAAAAAAAACGAACAAGGAATTTGTTACAGGAAAATATTTAAGACTTTTAAAACTAAGTAGGCAAGAGGAGTTAAGTAAGAGACAGACATTACAAAATGTAATATTCAATGAAACTGACAAAACTTCTTTCCCAAAGACAACATTATTTAAGCCACAGTTAAGGGATAAAGGAATTTAACATATCAATGTCAATTGTTAAAGCTTTAAAATATACCCATACTTTAAAATGTTTCACTGATCACTAAATTACATGCCAAATATAAAATCAGATGATTTATGATTTTTACAATGGTAAGAAAACATGGAGGTAAAAGAAGATTATGACTCAAAATAAAGGAAAAGGTCATTACAAAATAAAAAACAGAACTAGAAAGAGAAAATTGGAAACAGAGGAATTAAACCTCAAAAAATTATCTGGCAAAGAGATTGTGACAAAAGAGATAATATCTGATAAATATATGCTTATTTGCTTCTCATAATTTATAAAGCTGTTGTCTTACCTGAAACTGACTTTCTTATAAAGGGAATCTTAGTCCCTACTAATTTATTGAGATAATTAATTATATTAATAATCTATACTAATACAATATGGATTTATAAACTAATAATAAAACATTTAACATTAGCTATTCCAAATGAAAGGCCTATATTTAAAAAAAGTTTTATAATTAAAAATATAAGAGCACTGAATAAAATATTGGAAGATTACTTGTGTAACATGGCAATGGCTTCTCTTGTTTTCAACTGATCGAGTCCAAAAGTTAAAGCAAAACGCCGAGCAAGTTCTTTTATAC